GCCCCCTAGCCCCGAAAAGGATGGAGCCGAGGGCATCCCCGCGTTGAAGTTGTTGAAGTCGGGGATGCGGGTGAAGACGGCGCCCGGTTGCGTGGGGTCGGGGTCGTATTGGGAGGCGGGGGGTGGGGAGAGCCCTGCCTCGCCCCCCGCCTGCCCTTTGCCGGACCCCTTCTCTTTGCAGGGGACACAGCCCATCCTGGGCACCGCCTGCAGGACAGAGGGACTGTGACCCCCCGGCAGGGCACATGTGTGTGCACATGCGTGATCCCCGTTAGAGGCACTGGGGTGCACATGTGAGCCCCACGCCTCCCTGGCACCCATGGGTGCTCCCGTTCATGGGGACCCCACTCACTGTGACAGCTCCTTGGGTCACTTCAGCTGCTCCATGTCACCTCGGGGGGAGGAAGAGGCACCTGTGGACACCGGGGAGGGCATTGGGGGGTGGAAAAAAGCCCTGCGCGGGCTGAAATACCCCAGTATGGGGTGAAATACCCCTGCATGGGCTGAAATAGCCCAGTATGAGCTGGAATACCTCTTCATGGGATGAAATAGCCCAGTATGAGCTGAAATACCCCTGCACGGGCTGAAATACCCCTGTACAGGCTGAAATAGCCCTGCATGGGCTGAAATAGCCCAGTATGATCTGAAATACCTCTTCATGGGATGAAATAGCCCAGTATGAGCTGAAATACCCCTGCACGGGCTGAAATACCCCTGTATGGGCTGAAATACCCCTGTACGGGCTGAAATACCCCTGCATGCACTGCAACACTCCTGGACAAGCTGCAGTACCACCCAAACAGGCTGCAACATCCCTGCAGAGATAAACCACCACTGCACAAGCTGCAACACCCCTACATGGTATGAAGCACCCTTGTACGGACTGCAAAACCCCTGCACGGGATGCAATACGCCTGCATGGGCTAAAACACCCCTGCTCAGGTTGCATCTCCCCTGCATGGGCTGCAATACCACCAGAACAGGCTACAAGACTCCTGCAAGAGCTAAAACACCCCTTGCATGGGTTAAAATAGCCCTGCACAGGTTGCATCCCCCCTGCGTGGGCTGCAACGCGCCTGTACGGGCCACAACCACATCCTCGAACCGGTTTCTCTCCCGTCGCGTCCTCAACAAAGCGATCGCTTCCCTCTCGGGGCAGACGTGGCCCCAGCTGCCCCAAGGCTGCAGGGAGCCAACCCGGGTGACAAGGGGCCCTTGAGGTGTCCCTGTCCCCATCCCCTCGGCTCGGGGGGAACGGGTGTCTGCGGGGAGCAAGGGCCCTGCTCTCCTCGCTGCGGTCGGGGCCGTGCTCTTCCGGCTGTGGCCGCGCTCGGCAGCGAAGGCGTGGAGGAAATTGGACGTCTCCCACCATGGCTGCGAGGAGACATTTCTGTCCCCGGCCTCATCACCTCCCCTGGGTGCTGGTCACCCAGTTTGGCCTGGGGCAGAGCTTTCTGGTCAATACGGCCGAGCTTGCCCCATCTCCAGCCCAGGAGCAGAGGGAAGGCGCCGTGAAGCCACGCTCGACCTGGCAGCCACATCCTGTCCCCTAGGGCAGGAGGAGACGGAGGTTTGGGGGGAATTTAGGGACATTTTGGGCAGGTTTCCCCCGTCACAGTCTTTGGTTCACTTTTCTCTCTAATCTCGGGTTGAAAAGGGCCCAGTTCTCCCTCTTCCACCTTCGCTTTCGACACCAGCGGTGTGGCAAGGCCACGGCCGTTGCCGACGGGGTTGCCGACGGGGCAGCGTTGCCAAATCCAAGAGGCTTTGCCTGCTCAGGGGTTGTATTTTTGCTGACAATAAGTGGCTATTTTAGCTGACGAATGTCCCCAGTTCTCACAAACCCTGGTCCCTATGAGTGGGAATCACCCACCCCCCGCTGCCGGTGTCATGCTCCAAAACTTCCCATTTTGCCGTATTTTTGTGCAGCGACACTGCCACGGCTGCCGGC